CGCCGACGACGACGACGACGGCGGCGGCATGCCTCGGTGGAGGCTGGCTGTAGGCGCGCTGGCCCCCGCGCGTGCCCGCGGGCTGCGCGGCCGCTCGGCGGCCGCATCGGCGGGGCGGAGGGCCCAGCGGGGGGGGCGGAGCAGCACCGTGGTGCACGTGCCCCGTGGGCTCCGGGTCGGTGCTCGGGGATCTGCTATGAGTATGTCGGGCGTGTCCCCCTACAGGGGGATTGTCGACGAAAACTAAAAAATAATACTCCAAAAATGCCCGCAAAGGGTCAAAGAGTAGTCCCAACATAGTCCCCAAACTGTGTTTGGACTATTTGTGAATAGTCCCCCTGTAGAGGGACAGGCCCGACTTAATGCTATGACACGGTTCCTAAAGGGAAGTCAGCGACAGGGACTTCTGAGACCGCGGCGTTGCATATGGAGGCCTCGACAAGTGCGAGCGAAAGCGTCGCGCAACGACCTTGTGGGCGAAGCCGAACGGACTTGAGAAGTCGGGATCGCCCGTCTCAGAAGTCCCTTTCCCTGGGGTCCTAACCAAAAAACTGCAGTGCAGGACCACAAAAAATGCAACGCAGGGCTTCGCAGACCCGGGTGAGCCATCATGCGCGGCCGCATCGCGGCCACGAGCGGCTCGCTAACCCGGGTCAGCCAGGGGGGGTCTTCGCAGGATCCTGCAGGATTCCGTGCCCTTGCTGACCTCCTTTTGCATTGACCCCCGTCTCTTCAGCTCCGAAGTGTAAGCCCGAGTCGTCAGCCGGTCCCCAACCCGTCTCAGGGTGCATCTGGCTCAGTAATTTTCCCCAGATCAGCTTTTGGAACCGCCGGGAGCCGGAAACTGCCCCTCAAGGCCGAAAAGAAGCAAAACCTTTCCGACCCACAGCCTTGGGTCTGATCCCCCTTCCTGCAGCCTCAGACCGCCAGACGGTTCCAACTTAGAATCCCATCGACAAGGCGCAGCTGATGAAAACCACCTCAAGTTCGGAGAACATCTTAGAAAATCAACAAAACAACTACCCTGGGCTGTCCGCCTTGGCGGCGCGCACAGGGGGGTAGGGGGAGGGGGAAAGGCTTCTTAGAAGGAGGCTGCTCCTCAGAAGGCGCGGGCCTTGCATCTGCAGGAAAGGCCCGCATCTTCATATAAGGAGCAGGGGTGCTCCCGAGAAACCTGCCCACCTCCCCCCCTACCCCCCCCCCTGCGCGTGGCCGCCCACTCCTGCAGGACCCTGCGCGCTGGCCCGGGTCCGTGCAGCCCTGGCGCTGCAGGATCCTGCAAGATGCTGGTGAGGAGGAGGAGGAGGAGGGGGAGGAGGAGGAGGAGGAGGAGGAGGAGGAGGAGGGAGAGGAGGGAGAGGAGGAAGAGGAGGAGGAGGAGGAGGAGGACTTGACCCCCGTCTCGAGGCGGCCGACCACGTCCCCGGGCGAGGCCCCCCGGGCGGACGCGGAGGCGGCCGCCGCGACAGGCCGGAGGGCACAGCGAGAGCCGCCGCCGCCACCAGCGCTCCGCTCCCAGAGCTGGCGCGGGCGGAGCGGAGGCCCCGCTCTATCGGGCAAGGGGGGGGCCACCCGCGCCCAGGCCCCCCCTCGCTCCGCCTCCTCCTCCTCTCCTCCTCTCCTCCTCTCCTCCCTCTCCTCCTCCTCCGCCTCCTCTCCTCCTTCCTCCTCCTCCTCCTGCTTCCTCCTCCTTCCTCCCTCCCTCCCTCCCTCCCTCCCTCCCTCCCTCCCTCCGCGCCCAGGCCCGCTTTATCAGGCAAGGGGGGGCCCCCTGGAAGGACAGCTCTCGGACTCGCGGGGAGGCACGCGCGGACCTCTCCGGGGCCGAGCCCGCGGCGGCGGACAGGCCGTGCCTGGACACAACACCGAGCATGGGACGAAGCTCCCCGGCGAGCACGTGCAACTTTGAAGGGGCCCTGGGACACACAAATCATGACACACAAATAACAGGACTCCCCACACATGTTCCCATAGTTTCGGTGCTTCTGTCTCCCCCCACACTCCCCATAGTTCCCCAGAGTTCTGGGGAATCGACGATTCATGGTGTCTGTGTTTTTCCCCTTCTGGAACTTGAGGGACAGAAGAAAGCTGCACCGCCACTCCACAAACCCATCTTTAGGAGTACGTTCTGTGTGTTTTTTGTGTGTGGTTTTCCCCCACAGTTTTTTTGTTTGTGTGTTTTGTGTTTTTGTGTTTTCTGTTTTTTGTGTGTTTTGTTGATTTTTGTGTGTGCTTTGAGTTTCGGGACGACTCTGGCCGTGGCGACAAACGGCATGGTGGCGGCCTCGGTAACTGGATGATGTCCTCTGTGGGCTTTTCTGGCCACGGCGAGCCTCGGCCACGACTACTTTCCCGTTCCGAGGCCCTCCTGATCTCAAAATGGTTTTTAATTTCAGCGTATTCACCGTATCTCTGGTATCTGGCGGCCGCTGGAAGGCATCTCCAGGACGGCCTGGGTGAGGCGCAGCCGCGGTAAGGCATCCCAAGGCTGGAAGACCGCCCAGAACCGACAACAATGCTGAGCCCCCTTGGCTCTCCATCCCCAGAGGCCTCCTGAATGGGGTCCGAGTGGATAGGGTCGCAGGATCTCGCCGCATGGCCAGTGCATCGGCGATGCATCGGCGATGCATCGGTGACGTCGGTGCTGCATCGGCGACGTCGGCGTGGAGAAAGTCGGGCTTCCACATCGCGGCGCATCGGCGACGCATCGGCGATGCATCGGCGATGCATCGGCGATGCAGCGCGATCGTCCGACCCCATCTACTCGGACCCTTTCTGGGAGGTCTAGAACCTTGGAGGTAGCCAGAGGATCTAGCCAGGGGCCTAGAAAATCAGTCAGGAAGGGGGATGAGACCAAATCCGCTCAGAATCGATCCCCAGACCCCTCACAGGGTGCATCCGGCTCAGTGATTTTCCCCGGATCAGCTTTTGGCACCGGGGCCCGAAAACGGCCTCCAAAGACCGAAAAAGAAGCAAAACCTTTCCGACCCACAGCCTTGGACCTGTTCCCCCTTCCTGCTGGCCGGAACCAGTGCTGGGCCACCTCAGACCGCCAGACGGTTCCAGCTTATAGTCCCATCGGCATGGACGAGGCGCAGCTGATGAAACCACCTCAGGTCCCGAGAACATCTTGGAAAGTCCAGAAACAAACTTCCCTGGGTTGTCCAGGGAACTTGTCCACCTTGGCGGCGCGCACAAGGGCGTAGAGGCAGGGGAAAAGGCTTCTTAGACGGAGGCTGCTTCTAAGAGGGCGCCAGACCTACATCTGTAGACGAGGCCGGCGCCTTCTAAGAAGCAGGGGTGCGGTGCTTCTGCTAGAAGAAGACAAACAAGAAACGAAAAAAGACAACAACAACAACAACAACAACAACAACAACAACAACAACAACAACAACACCACCACCACCACCACCACCACCACCACCACCACACCACCACCACCACCACCACCACCACCACCACCACCACCACCACCACCACCAACAACAACAACAACAACAACAACCACAACCACAACCACAACACCAACACCAACACCAACACCAACACCAACACCACCACCACCACCACCACCACCACCACCACCACCACCAACAACAACAACAACAACAGCAACAACAACAACAACACATAAACATCAATTTTTGACGGTCCGCGCCGATTTCTTGGATCTGCGCCGGACCCCCCCTCCCTGGCGCGCGGAGCGCACCAGGGGCGGCGCCGGAGGCACCGCCGGGCGGGCCGCGGATCCCAGAGATCCGCGCGGAGCGCCACAAGTTTCTGTTTACGCAGCTTGTTTTCTTCGATCACTTAGGAACCCTTCCCCCCTCTCCCTACCCCCGTCTGCGCGCGGCTGTCCACGCCCAGAGCTCTGAACCCCTTCCCCAGGACCGGATTGCTCGTCCTGAATCATTGTTTGACGGTCCTGGGGGCCCGGCAAGGGCCCCAAGGGGCGGAAAACATCTAACAAAAACCTCCCGTCGTGATTGTTGTCAGAGCTCGGGGGGATCTGGGTACCCCCCCTCTGCGCGTGGCCGCCCACCCCCTCCTGCAGCCGCCGACGCTGCAAAGGCCGCCGCGTACCCCGCAGCCGGCAGCGCGGCCGCCGCCGCGGGCGGCTGCCGACGCGGCGGCGGGCCGCGCGCCGCGGACTGCCGCGCGCCCTCGCTGGCGCAGGCGCCGGCGCCGCCGTCGTCCTCGTCCTCGTCCTTGCGGGCAAGATTTGTGTCCACATTCTCGCCTCGTGCTCGTCCTCGTCCTCGTCCTCGCCTCGTCCTCGCCCTCGTCCTCGCCTCGTCCTCGCCCTCGTCCTGGTTGACAGGATTGACATCCATAGCTATCCTTGCTTCTTCCTCCTCCTCCTCCTCCTCCTCCTCCTCCTCCTCCTCCTCCTCCTCCTCCTCCTCCTCCTCCTCCTCCTCATCCTCCTCCTCCTCCTCCTCCTCCTCCTCCTCCTCCTCCCCCTCCTCCTCCTCCTCCTCCTCCTCCTCCTCCTCCTCCTCCTCCTCTGCCGGGCGCCGCGCGTCGCAGGCGGCGCGGGATATGCTCTGCATGGCGCAGGCGCTGCTCAGGAAGTCCAGATCCACGGATCGGGGCAGGCCCTCCCCGAATCGTCGGGCCAGCACCGCCCGATCTGGCGACGCAGCGCCCTGACATGGCTTGCACACTGTTTTTACAAGCGCAAGCGGGCCCCGTGGCGAAACGCAAGGAGGAGAGGAGGAGAGGGGGGAGGGTGAAACCGCCGGCAGCCAGCCCCTGGGCTGCGCCGCATCTGCCTAGTCCGGCGGCCCCGGCCGAACCTCCAGCCGCCTGCGCAGCGCCGCGCGCCAGCCCGCCTCGCTGCCAGCCAGCCTCGCTGACATGGCTTGCACACAGGAACGGGCCCCGCCGCCGACCCACGCGCGGGGGCTCGTTGGTCCCTCTTGGGGGCGCTCGCGGGTGCCTCGTCGGAGCCTTCTGGGGCGCCCAGGGGGGCCTCGTGGGGTCCTCTTTTGGGGCGC